AATTATATGCTAATCCCGATTCAGGTAGGTTTTAAGATTTCGAATGGATGGGTTATTTATTATTTGAACAGGAAACGTGTTCCACACTTGAATTGTGGAATCCCGAAATGCTTTTTGATACCGTATCGTTATGCACAAGGAAGGCCGATTTGAATTCGATGACGAGTGGTATAGGTCTCATTGTTAACTACAAATCCTTGAATTACACGTTGTAAATATTATTGAGCAAAACCATGGCGCTTTTTAATGCCTTAGTTTATACATATAAAGTCTAGAATTAAGGCTCTCAAACTCGGTTTCCTCATATAACAATGACAGAGGTACCGTTACTATTCATTTAGTCCCCGAATGACGTTTCCTTTATTTCTTACTTTACATGATACCGAAAGTGCGCGGAATAAAAGGTATACCGATTTTACGCGTATTTTCTCCGTTGGTACGTACCACGTTTTTTTTTTCTTCTGACAGTCACACACACACACACACACACACACACACACACACACACACACACACACACACACATACATACATACATACATACATACATACATACATACATACATACATACATACATACATACATACATACATACATATATATATATATATATATATATAAATATATATATATATATATATATATATATATATATATATATATATATATATATATATATATATATATATATATATATATATATATATGCCAAAGGAAGAGGGCAGAGAGAGAGAGAGAGTGAAGCACAGTAAAGATGAATTTTTATGGAGGAAAAAGTAAAAGGTATCCAAGAAGGTCAAGGAGAATGGGAGAAACGAATAAGTAAAAAGAAATTAGTCTGAGATCGCAAAACAGGATAAACAGATGGTAGCAACTAAAAAACGAAATAAATTCACAAACGGAGCGACAGAGGTAAAGTCGGAAAACATACGGCAAAACAACCCAAATGAGGTTAATAGAATTGAATCTTTCTCAGTATTTATCCCGTTACAGGCATGCGAAGATGTCTATTAAAAATGGTTATAGATTGAGATCGCATTCATTTTTTTTGGTAGTTATATAGGTATTTTGTAAGCATTGATTGACTGAGTATGGACCGCTCCGGTTAGTGGTTAAAGCGTCCACCTCTGATGCAGGAGGTCGTGGGTTCGATCTCCGGTCGAGTAATACCCAAGACTTACAAAATGTATGTATGCATGTATGTATATATGTATGTATCTATGTATTTGTAGGTAGGTAGGCATGTAGGTAGGCAGGCATGCAGATAGAAAGATCGGTAAGTAGGTATTACGAGAACTATCTCATAATCTAAATCACAAACTGCAAAGGAATACCTATTGATCTAGAATGACAGTAATCATGTCTAATGCACCGAGTAAATATAATTGCCCTTGTTTGACTGAGCTTACTGGTACTATGAGCTCTATATGGATATTGAAAGACTTTGTTATGGACTATAGTTTTGTTTAGATTTGATGAGTAATTTTACTACATATATGTAAATGCTTCTTTGAATATGTTTTAAGAATAAATTTGATATGCGTTATTATTCAATGCTTGTCTTTGGGAGAAGTCATCAAAATCCGACTATACTAAAATAATTAGGTGTATCATAAGTGCTTTGAGTTTATTATACTAACCATATATATGATTTCAGTTAAGGTAATGAGATCGTTTCTTAGCTCTCGTGCTTCACAAGAAACAAAATACTTTTCAATTATTTTATGCCGTTTACAACTAATGAAATAATTAAATTATGTGCAATTTTTATTGGTTGATGCACCACTCCGATGGCCTAAGTGGTTAGAGTGTCCGCCTCAAATGCGGGAGGTCGCAAATTCGAACTCCGGTCGAGTCATACCAAAGACTCATAAAATGGTACTAACAGTTGCCTTGCTGGCGCTCAGCATGAACAGGTTAGTGTTAGGACTGGTCGGCCTGGTGTCAGAATCATGTGACTTGATGGGACATGATGCCACATGTCCGCATCATGATACCAAAGTGCAAGACATCGTTATAAACTGCCACACTGCAGACATTATGACTGAAAAGTTGTTAAAGTTACTTTTAAACCAAAATCACACGCACTACACACGCACCTTTTGTTTTTATAATCGGCAGGCAAGTGTGGTACAAACAACACACAGGAGAATTCTATTTCAATTTTAGTGAATACTATAACTTTTTGACGGGCATTGTTGTTGTTGTTTATTGTTGCCTACTGTTATCAGAACACCGCTATCCTTACACAAGCGAGAGCCCGGATTTCCTCATAACTGTCATAGAATTATTGGAACATTAAAGTCTTCATTATGAAAAAATAACACTTACAACCTTCTCAAGTTTGTCAGGTTTTACCTTGTTCCACTTAAATATGTATAAATAAACACTTGTCCATCCTTCCGTTTACCAGACAACTGCTTTGTATACAGTGTAGTAACTGAGCTCTCTGATAAAATTTAATTTCCTTTCTTTTGTGTTAACGTCATTTAGTAGCTATATCATATTTTTATCCACCACTGTTGCATCTATCCATCCTTCAGCTCTATCTACCGCTGCATCTGTCTGTCCGTCGTGTTTTTCCGTATACTCTTGACTTAGCTGACGATTCCATAGTGTACATCAAAACATGTAAAGTCATATCTTTAGTAACTCGAAGGTTGTATTAAACAATACTTAAAAGTGTAAAACTAGATGATGTAATTAAACGATACTTAAAAGTGTAAAAACTAGATGATGTAATTAAACGATACTTAAAAGTGTAAAAACTAGATGATGTAATTAAACGATACTTAAAAGTGTAAAAACTAGATGATGTAATTAAACGATACTTAAAAGTGTAAAACTAGATGATGTAATTAGACGATACTTAAAAGTGTAAAACTAGATGATGTAATTAAACGATACTTAAAAGTGTAAAAACTAGATGATGTAATTAAACGATACTTAAAAGTGTAAAACTAGATGATGTAATTAAACGATACTTAAAAGTGTAAAACTAGATGATGTAATTAAACGATACTTAAAAGTGTAAAACTAGATGATGTAATTAAAGGACACTTAAAAGTGTAAAACTAGATGATGTAATTAAACGATACTTAAAAATGTAAAAACTTGATGTAATTAAACGATACTTAAAAGTGTAAAAATTAGATGATGTAATTAAACGATACTTAAAAGTGTAAAAACTAGATGATGTAATTAAACGATACTTAAAAGTGTAAAAACTAGATGATTTAATTAAATGATACTTAAAAGTGTAAATCTAGATTATACTTAAAATGTGTAATTATAGAAATCCATATGTAGTGCAATGTTTGTCAGGACTAGTTGAGTGTAGTGCAGTGCTTGTCAGGACTAGTTGAGTGTAGTGCAGTGTTTGTCAGGACTAGTTGCAAATGAAAGCTTAATTCTATACATGGCGTCAACCATAAGATAAAAACTTTTTCTATAAATGACGTCAGCAATGAGATGAACAAGTAAAGCAACACCATTGCAATCATTCTTTGCAAAGATGATTAGGTTAGTTCCTATCGCTCTGGCATCAGTAACTTTTATCCGTACTACAACTATAAAACAGCGCTGTGCTTATTTATGGATAAATTTACGCATGAAAACATTTCTTTTCTGTATATCATGAATTCATAGAAACTTTTAGAAATAGGCTAAATATTGTTGCGACAGTGTATAATATCCAATAAATTGAACGTATCGACAAACACAAAACACGGTTATGACCCGTATAGTAATAATATCGTTTGAATTAATTTCAGAAGTGAGAATGATGGCTCAAATAGAGGCAAGGCATACACATCACAGATTCCACTTTATAAAAGGATATGTGATTCATTCAAATTACATTTCTTAGAGACTCTTACTTGCTGTAAAACTTGGAGTTCACAGATGGCCAAACATCATTGGTTTTGGCTTCTGTGAGCGCGTGATCAAGCAAACATGTGGTCTGAACTGTCCTTAGCACACATTCCAGAAGATGCCGCGTTGTTTTTCAATTGTAAGCTGCTGGCACTGTTGCTTCTCCAGTTCTCCTCAATTCAAGATCTTAAGCTACAACATCGATAAGACTTCGTCAACTGGAGCGATCCAGAGAAAGATCTTAACATGACTCAGGTTCAATGTTGAAATGATTCAAGTATGAATTGGGCGTTGCTTCTGATCACTGTGTGATCTCTTTCCCTCCTTCAGCTTGCCATACAAGATGCTTATTTGTAGTCGCTCTTCTGACGTACTAGTCAAGTGGCATGACCATCTCAACTTTGATCTCTTCAACAAAGTGTGGGTGTTTAAAATGCTTGCTAATGCGAAGATTTTCGTATTATGGGACCCTCTCCTGATATCACATGATGATGCTGATGCTGCTGCTGCTGCTGCTGATGATGATGTAGCCTGTCAAAGGCCGTACTTGCCTTAGCAGTTATGGTATTGGTTTCTCATGGATGGGAATTGCACAACACAGTGTGTTGACAATATATGTTAACTGGACAAATGCCGGAAGGCATTGACCATTTACTGTGATGGTAGGCTCAGCGTGAAGCTTCTCCTGGTGCAGGATGTTTTCTTGATACGGATCAAAAATTGATACCAACTAAAGAGAAACGGTTCATACTCTGTTACATGTCAGACAAAGATTTGACATCTGCCGTCCGCAAATAGGAGATCAGGAACAGTCACTTCAAGTAACTTCCTCTTCGCCTGTAGTCTTCTAACACTGAGGCATCTGATGTCGATGTGATTTTGGGATGTGAGGTGATTATGATTTTTAACGTAACTTTAACAATTTTTCAGTCATATCGCTATGATTTCTGCAGTGTGACAGTTTATAGTAATGTCCAGCACTGGGGCATTATTAGGCAGACAAGTAGCATAATGTCCCACCCAGTCGTATTATCCTGACACCAGGCCGACCAGTCCTAACACTAACCCATTAATGCTGAGCGTCACGCGAGGCAGCTGTTAGTACCATTTTTGTAAGCCTTTGGTATGACCTGACCGGGGATAGAGCCCACGACCTCCTGCATCCAAGGCGGACGCTCTAACCACTAGGCCACCGGAGCGGTTCATCTGATGTCGACCCAGGTGTCATAATCACGGAAGAGCATCTATAAATATGATGGATGACATCTTACTAAAAAGAGGTAAAGTCAACACACGGACTTGCTTTACTCCATTTGTGACTTGGAATAGTATAGATGGCTCACCTATACTCCATGGTACGAGTGAGGATGCCGTCAATGAATAGCTGAACCATCACGATGAATTTTGTCTGGGCAGCGTTGTCATGCATCTATCATTCAAAGGCCGTATCGGATAACAGTATTAAATGCCTTCATCAGGTTGATAAATGCCGTGTATTGGTTGGAATTTTTTTCCTGGCATTTTTCCTGGAGTTGATGAGTTGCAGTCTCTATGCTAGTGGTCCCTCGTCCTTCCCTGATGCCACAAAATCTCTAGTATGGAGGTTTTGTACAAAGCAAATCAATTTTCATTTGCAGGCTAGTAACATGATATATAGTTCTTTGACTAGAAATGTTCGGTCATTTTTTTGTACCATATGCGAGACGCCGTTGGCAAAGCTGAAGTTTCATGTGCGTTATGAGTGTTAGTCAGCGCTTCAGGATCAGCATGTGCCATCTAGATTTAGGCTGGGACAGCCTATTTTTGGCCTCCTCTCTAATTTGTGAATGTCGATTGAGAATGTTGTTGAAATTTTCTGACCGTATTTGAGGTATATTTCCTTTGTCACGGAGAAGTGTGGAGCTGTCTGCCCTCAGTATTTGAGATGTTCTTGGTAATTTTTGCCCCTGTATTGTCTTCAAAATATCATCAAAGTTCTTCATATCTTTCCTCGCCTCGTAGGACTGACTCTCATCCGCCTTTCTGTTCAGCTGTCAGTCTTGCAACTCTCCGAGTTTGAATTGGACAGACCTCTTGATGAAGAAGTGCTGTCTTCTAAGTATGCCTTCAGTAGCCTTTGTTTCTCATGCAGAAGTCGCTGTATAGTGCCATGGTTCTCATTAAATACGGTTTTATTTTAACATGTTGTAGGTCCTGTGATTTTAGATAAAGTTGAGAACAGACTGTCTCTGCAAAATACCCAGTTCTCTCTCTCTCTCTCTCTCTCTCTCTCTCTCTCTCTCTCTCTCTCTCTCTCTCTCTCTCTCTCTCTCTCTCTCTCTCTCTCCTTTGATAAGGTAGTCAATGAGGTACCAGTGCGTTTTGACAGGCGGAAGTCTGAGAAGTAGGTTTTGTTCAACACGTTTCTGAAGCTGGATGAGTCCCATGTTGTCGCATTTTCACATGCCATTTTTGCCAGCGACACCTTTACAAAACCTGGCGACTTGTGCCAAGCCTAGTGTTGAAGTCATTAGCGATGATGGACATATTTTATTCCAAACATTTTCAATAAGCGATAGTTGCATGTCTTTTCCATTAATCTTCTTTCACTTCCTTTGCGAGTGTTGTGAGAGTGCTGACTGTGATTTCGTGATAAAGACACCAGCTTCTTGTCTCCTCTTTATTCAACCACCCTGCCGAAGGTGTAGCTGGCTCCAGTTTCAGTGAAATGTCCTTCCTCAGCTAGACGAGTTTCGCTTGGAGTTGCAATTTAGATGTTGAAATTTGCCTGTTTCCTACAAACTGTATATGTTTCTCTAGAAACTGTATATGTTTCTCTACAAACTGTATATGTTTTTCTACAAACTGTATATGTTTCTTTACAAACTGTATATGTTTCTCTACAAACTGTATATGTTTCTCTACAAACTGTATGTTTTACTACAAACTGTTCATATTTTTCTACAAACTATATATGTTTCTCTACAAACTGTATATGTTTCTCTACAAACTGTATATGTTTCTCTACAAACTGTATATGTTTCTTTACAAACTGTATATGTTTCTCTACAAACTGTATATGTTTCTCTACAAACTGTATGTTTTACTACAAACTGTTCATATTTTTCTACAAACTATATATGTTTCTCTACAAACTGTATATGTTTCTCTACAAACTGTATATGTTTCTCTACAAACTGTATGTTTTTCTACAAACTGTATATGTTTTTCTACAAACTGTATATGTTTCTTTACAAACTGTATATGTTTCTCTACAAACTGTATATGTTTCTCTACAAACTGTATGTTTTTCTACAAACTGTATATGTTTTTCTACAAACAGTATGTTTCTCTACAAACTGTATATGTTTCTCTACAAACTGTATGTTTTTCTACAAACTGTATGTTTTCTACAAACTGTATATGTTTTTCTACAAACTGTATATGTTTTTCTATAAACTGTATGTTTTTCTACAAACTGTATATGTTTTTTCTACAAACTGTATATGTTTCTCTACAAACTGTATATGTTTCTCTACAAACTGTATATGTTTCTCTACAAACTGTATATGTTTCTCTACAAACTGTATGTTTTTCTACAAACTGTATGTTTTCTACAAACTGTATGTTTTTATACAAACTGTATGTTTTTCTATAAACTGTATGTTTTTCTACAAACTGTATATGTTTCTCTACAAACTGTATATGTTTCTCTACAAACTGTATATGTTTCTCTACAAACTGTACATGTTCTTCTCTTTGGTCTATCTGCTGTGTGTGTGCGGTGGAGAGTTGCGTCAACTTTGTCTTCGTGTTAGGGTTTTGACCGCTAAGTTAGGATCCACTTCAGCCGCGGTATGCTAAACATTGTTAAGGTGAGGCAGGCATGCTCTTTCACCATGCTATGGAGAGGGCAGTGTGATTATATAAATGGCTGTTTAAGTGGCTGCTTTAGCTAGTCAGTGGATGCCGGTTGCCACTGCTGTTTCAATTCATTGAAAAGCGTACATATGCTCTAAGCCACCTGTTTGCATGTCTCCATCAACATATCTTTGGGTGTATAATGCTTTGCCGCTCGGTCATCATTAATGGACTTAAATATATGGGGGAGTGAGTGGAGTAATCATCTGACTTGCATGTGAGTTCGATCAAATTGAGGGCAAAATCGCGCAGAGTAACCACCAATCTCTCCTTCTGGCCGGAGTTAAAAAATGGCAAGAAAATATCGAGACTTCTTCCGACAAATTTGGATTTATTTGATGACCGTCAGTTCTTACTGCACCTCGGTTGATGCCTTGTAGAAACCACTCTGGGTCAACAGTAACAGGTAGTACCGTCTACAGTTAAGCTACGGTTGCAGAGGTAACCTAACCTAAAGCATACCTGCTTCTGACATACTTTACATATAGCACATAACTTAACCTGCATGTAGCACTTGAAGACATTCCCTTCGGAAATGAATATGGGAATGTATACCAGTGACAAGAATGTACATTTCTGTGTATGTTGAATGGAAAATATATTTGCACCAATTTATCGTAGATGGAGTTGAAAACAAATGGATCCCGCCGTGATGAACGGTTTTAATTTCAATATTTCAAAGTTTTGTTATCTCTTTGAAATCTATACTTTCTATGGCGATCTCCACCGTTGTCATTAGAAGTAGACTTGAATATCTCGTTTGACCACCCAACCTGTGTACTATAATAGGCCCTAGGCCGCCGAAAAAAATGTTGCTTATGTTTCTCAGAATAAGGATAATAGATGTAGATTATTGACTCGTTAACAACATCTTTTTACATATTTCGGAATGAATGGCTCAACAGATAATTTAAATCATAAAGTAAAATAATATTGAATTAAAACAAAAGAGATGCAAATCGATGCAAAACACGATGATGAAAATGCCACCTGTACGCGGAAAGCACTGTCATTCGATATATAAATATATATGATTTTTCTATAAGGACATCAGAGGGGACGTATGCTTTTATTTCAGCGTACACGTTATATTTTTTTTCTTTTCAGTTTCATAACTAAATTTTTGTAACACAAGAGGAAATGTAACATCAGAACGGGGAAACTATCTGAACAAACAGTTACGCATTTTCTTTGCAGACAGAGTTTAAAATCTAAGTGGATGAACTGTCGTAGTTTTGACTTCATTGTGTTTTCATTACTTGCTAAATGACATGCAATTGATGAGTGTGTAAATGGTTTTGTCTGTCGCTGTCTCTGTCTGTGTGTACATACATACATACAATAAAATAATAATTAAATATAATAGAGACAAACAGTCATACATACAATTATAGTGTTATAAAAGATATACAATTTCACAATTGAAAAGAAAATTATACAATTTTATATAATACATTGGTATTAAGGCCATTAGGATACAAAGTATCTAATTTATGTATCCAATAAGTCTCTTTTATAAGTCTGTTCATGTCACTGTCTACTCGATTTTTCTTTCATGCCAATAGATATTGTGCATGGAGAAATGAACAGACTTATAGTTGTTGTGATTATGCATTGTTTTTATGACGTTACCTAATGACATAATTTCTTATGAAGTTACGTAATGACGTAATTGTTATTTTAGCCTGTAAAGACGTCATCCGTTTATTTCAAAACATTTTGTGCCTGAAGAAGCAAATAATATATGCGAAACTAGTTGCACGGTATTATCGGCGTTTGTGTTGTTTTTATAATCCCATACATACATACATACATACATACATACATACATACATACATACATACATACATACATACATACATACATACATACATACATACATACATACATACATACATACATACATACATACATACATACATACATACATACATACATACATACATACATACATACATACTTTCAACTGAAATATACTAAAGTATTGCACATAAGACGAAGTGGTCTTAGCTAAACACTGTTAGTAAATAAGTGGCTCAAAATATTTCTTTGCGTGAAATATTCGAAAAGTACAACATTTAATAACTTTACGGGTACAATTTGAAATGGTGATAAATATATATATATATATATATATATATATATATATATATATATATATATATATATATATATATATATATATATATATATATATATATATATTCGTTACGAAATTTGATTACAAATTGCATACCAATTTCCTTGTTGATTCTTGTTCTTGATACGTAACGTACATTGTGTACAACTTTAAAAACG